TTACATAAATCTATTAGTGAAGATTTAACACTGAGATGAAATCTAACATTCATAATACCTGATGTTTTGTAGATGGCAATGTAGGAAAGATATATTTTAATCACTTTTCATTTAAGTGACCTTATGTAAAAAATAAACTAATAATTTAGCAGTTTGAAGTCTTCAAAGGGCATTTTCAAATGTACATAAAAGAAATGGTTACAGAGATTTTTAAGAAGCATCCTCTTGTCCACATCCTCTTGTAACTGCTGTACCATTTTCTCTTCCAACTGCTTCGCTTTGCCTGCAAGAGGGGCTCGGATAAGATGGATGTTTTGCTTGACTTCTTTGATATCCTGAACTTTCTGTAGCTCTTTATTTTTCTTCAATCTGTTCATTATAAATTTAACGTGGCATTTCTGTTTGATCTCTTCAACTCTCTTCATTGCATCAATAGTTTTATTCCATCGCTCTTGCTAGCATTTGATAGGTTCATTTCTACGTTTTTAAAATTCAAATGAATTATCCACTGTAAGCTCTTTCCGGAATGCTTTGGTCCACCTAACTTTGTGAGGATTGCGCTTCTTTTTATAGTTTTTATGACATTTAGATTTACAAAATCTGAACACCTTGCAATCATTGCGGACAAACATCATGTCGTGGCTTGGGGTAGGTGGGCCCCAAAGAGAAGTAACACTTCTTGATACCCTTGTTGAACCTGTGTAAGTCCTCACCAACCAAACGCCATGCTTGAAAGCCCTCTTGCTTTCTTAACCATGCCAAATATACTCCTCCCTTTGCATTGGTCCTTCTGCCTGGAATGTCTTCTCTCAGATATCTGTAAGGCTAACCCACTCACTTTCTTTATGTCTTTGCTCAAATGCACCTTCTAAATGAGGCCTTCCCTGTCTACTATATTTAACATTGCAACCCATCCCTACTCCCACTTGTCACTCCTGATCACTCTTACTTACCCTGCTATGTAATTGTTTCCATTGTACCTGTCACCTCTAACATACTACATAATTTTCTTTTTCTTTTTTTTTTGAAATGGAGTTTTGCTCTAATTGCCCAGGCTGGAGTGCAATGGTGCAATCTTGGCTCACTACAACCTCTGCCTCCTGTGTTCAAGCAATTCTGCCTCAGCCTTCCAAGTAGCTGGGATTACAGGTGTGTGTCACCATGCCTGGCTAAGTTTTTTTTTTTTATTTTTTTTTTATTTTTAGTGGAGACAGGGTCTCACCATGTTGGTCAGGCTGGTCTTAAACTCCTGACCTGAAGTGATCCACCCGCCTCAGCCTTCCAACGTGCTGGGATTACAGGCGTCAGCCACCATTCCCAGCCTAATTTTCTAAAAATAAATTTATTGGTTATGATGGGTCTCCCCCATTAGAGGGTAACCTCCTCCATAAGGACAGATATCTTTGCCTGTCTGGTTCACTGCTATATCCCAAGGGCCTAGGACAGTGCCCGGCACATGATAGCTGTTTATTTTATATTTGCTGAATAAATGGATGAATGATGGATTCTCTTTTACATAGAGCAATGATGGGGTCAAAGTAAGAGAACACTAAAGGAGAAAAAAACAGTAGGGTCTGAGGACTCTCTTGGGCCCCGTGTCTTCTTGACAGGTTTTACCTTAATAAGTTATTTTAGAGATGATAATGATAATGATGGTTACCACTGAAAGAGCATAGGCATTGTACTAGGTGTTTTACATACATTATCTCATTTAGTCCTCTCAACAGTACGATCAGGCAATTACAGATGCTCCTCTATTTACAATGACATCCCATGGATGAGTTTATCAGGTTGTAATGTCATACTCATGGTAAGTTAAGGAGTGTACTGAATATGTGTTGTTTTTGCACTGTTGTAAAGTCAAAAAATCGTAAGTTAAACCATCTAAATCTGGAACCATCTGTACTGTCTCCATTCTCCATTTTAAATACAAACTGCAGCTCTGAAATTTGGCTTTTCAGAAATGGACTAGTAAATGGCCAAGCCATATGCTTCTATTCAACTTCCGAGGGAACTCCTCAAGGACAGTGTCTTCCTCTATCAAAGCTGTGCTAGGTTAACTTCTTCCTCACCCAACCCCCAGCTAAACCTATCAATTACCTTGTCCAGCTTTGCCCCTAGTTGACTGTCCTCCCAATCACCTTGTCTTTAGAGACAGCAGCCCAGGAGTTAAGAGCCATTCGTAGCCCCGTCAAAGTCTCCATCCTTTGACCCTCATTTTTCTCCTTCAGCTGTTTGATGAGAGCCCGGATCACATGCTTATTTAGGCAACCTGGACAGGGAGGGGCCTCAAGTCAGGGCAGAGCCTCTGGTACTGCCCTTCTCTGCAAGGACCTATTGAACTCCACTTTGCTATTGAGACCTAAGTTCCAAGTCCTAGGTACCACGGTGTTGCCCATCCTCCCAGGATACCAGGGCAGCTGACTGAACATGAACACAATTCCAAGCGCCCTCCCTCTCCCTCTCTCTAATCTCTTTTCCCTTTTCACCCCACCTTCCTCTCTTGGTTCGACATAACTGGGATAGTTCTCAGGCCTTGCCAAATGCTAGGTTGGAGTAGGTGTATGCTCCTCACCCATTTGTCCTTACCCAAAGGAGAAAGTGGTTACACTTTCTCAACTCCCCACCAAGGAAGAGGACATACTTACCCAGGATGGCCAGGGTTCGGTAGGCCTCGTACTGTACTTTCTCTGGACCAGTTTGGGCCTAATTTAAGAGGCAGGTGGTAGGAACATATAATAAGGTGATGGAATGTCAGAGCTTTAGGGATTGTCTCAGCTTAACTTCTCAGTTTACAAAAGAGGAAACTGAAGCCTAGAAAGTGACCTATCTATTCTCAAATACAGAATACAGGCAAAATGGTTCAATGGAAGGAACAATGCAGTTGGGAGTTAGATGTTTGTTCAAATCTCTATCTGGTATCTAGTAGCCACTTGGCCTTGGGCAAGACCCTTGGTCTTTCAGAGCTTTCATTTTCTTTAAAAAAAATACAGATACTAATTCCTGGTGTTGTTGTAAGAGTTAAATGAGATTATGGATATTAAGAATGCATGTTCCCAGTGGTAAGCTGATGTGTACATATGCGGTATTTCCAGTTAAGGCAGAGAATGTACTCTGTTCTGGTTTTCAGACTTTCCTGGCTTTTCAGTCCAATAATGTCTTTTTGGTTAGACCAGGGGGATCTTCAGATTCTTCCTTCCCCATCTTTTAGATCCAGCCGCTCTTCTAAGAGGCCAAGGACATGAGATGGGGGCGTGCTGCACAGTGGTGGCTATGTCCTTACTGGATCTGGCCTGCCATCCTAGCACCCTGAGGAGCCTTGTCTATGCCCATGTACCACACATCTCAGACCCTGTTTCCTTCTTTCCTGAACTCCAGCAGTTCTCAGACTCACCACCTGCTGTAGTGCCTTCATGACAAACTTGTCACTGATGCGTAAGCATCCCAGAGCCTGCAGGAAGAGGGATGGAGGAAAGAGAAGGAACCCTGGACACCATCCCCAGGAGTTACCATTCTCTGGACACAGCTGGAGTTTGTGCTTGGAATACCATCCCCACAACCACCATCACATCAAGCAGCTTTTTACTTTCCAGCTCGACCAATTCCTGGCTGTAACCACCCTCCTGTATCCTTGCCTTTTCTCACCTGTGCTGCATAGAATTGCTCATCCTCTCTGGGAGATTCCAGGCTTTTTGTGAGTTCCTGCCCATCCAAGGCAGCCAGTGGAAAGGAAGACAGAGAAAAATACAGAATTTCAAACTAAAGGGAGCTCATCCAATCCAATCCCTTTTCCTACCCTCCCTCTGTTTTTCAGGCAAGGACTGAGGGCTGAAGGATGGTGTGAGCCCAAGGGAAGGGCACCCAGAGGGAGGGAGTCCCCCACATCCTCTCCCACATGGTCCTGACCCTTAATCTTTGCCACTTCAGGGGGTCCCAGGTAGGCTCTAAGGGCCTAGATCGCATGTCAGATTTTATAGTCAGCTTGCTCATGGGGAGATGGAACATTTGGATGTGGGTTTGATGTACTTCTTTGATGTACCTGTGTGAGAAATTGCATAGGCAGCTTTGATCCCCTTGTACCTTCCCTCCTCAGGTTGCACCCTCACCTCTGCCACAGGGCTGTGGCCCACCTCAGAAATGGGACCAGAGGAAGACAGATGAGGACTCAGTGATATCCACCAGAGCCGAGCCGAGCCGGCCAAGCCAGGTGGAGCTGAGCCGAGCCGAGCCGCCCTAAGCTCCTCTCTGGGACCTGTAGGCTGACTTGCCTTACTCCCTGGGCCACCCCTTCCTTGCCCTTCCTTACTTTCCTAGGAGATGTGGAGAGTGAGGAGAATATGGAGGCCAGCAAAACACACCTATGGTCATCTCTCATTTTCCTCAACATCTTCTCAGCCTCCCGTTCCTCTCGCTGATCATACAGGTCGTGCCAGTGCGTGTAGATCTCAGGTTTATTGAAGTAGCAGTACGGGACCGAGTTTGGCTTGCTCGGATGCTGCCTCCAGCACTCTGGACTTGGGGGAAACTCTTCCTTTGGCATCTGGGTTTGCAAGTGGCAGAACAGTCAGAGGGGTCCCCTAGGCCCTTACTTGGAGTATGGGGAGGAGGGGGTAAAGAGAGGGAAGGGCAGGGTGAGACAGATGCCCTCTAGCCTCTCATCTGAGCTGGAGTCACAGCTACAACTTAACCCATTGCATAACTTGGGTAAGTTACTTCATCCTAGCAAGGTCTCAGTCTTCTTATCTGTAAAACAAAGCTAATAATCCTTGCTCTGTGTCCCTACCAAGATTATTGTAAAGATCAAAAGAGATCCAGATTGTGAAGTCACTGGTGATCTGTAAATTGATCTGAACACATAGTTTGGTTAGTTGAGGGTCTCAAAGCACTTTGAAAATGACATTTGGGTAGGGAAATGAAAAGGCAAGGTGTGGGAAGGATGTGGAATAAAGGTGGGGAAAAGACAGACTGTTGCTCATTCAGATACTTATTTGAGTACCAACTATGTGCCAGGTACTGTGCTGGGTGCTAGGACTGCAGTTATCCTTGCCCTCATGGAACTTAACAGTTTAGCAGGAAAACAGACTTTCTTAAAATAATCTATCACTTAAACAATTGTGAAACTACAGCTCTCACTGTAATGGAGGATTTTGAGTGGGTCAGGGGCTTTCTCTGAAGATTTGGCTAGGATTCATCCCTGTCTCTTCTTAAGCCTTTCTTTCACTCTTTGCAACAGATCTGGGCAACAGGGGAGAGGGGCTTCAGCTGTGGTTCCCAACTTTGTGCTGAGAAGATCATAGTAAAGGTTCTCAAGTGATTGGCATAAGTTCAAAAAATGGAGCATTGACTCACAGTGAGTAGGGTTGCAGGTTTAGGAAGAAAAAAAAAAAAAAAAGCTCCTTCCTCCCCAACAACAAAAAAATACTAGGATGTCAAGTTAAATTTGGATTTTAGGTAATGAATGAAATATTCGGGGCACATTTGTACTAAAACACCATTTGTTGTGTATCCAAAATTCAAATTTAATTGGTCATTCTGTATTTCATCTGGCAACCCAAACTGTGAGGGTTGCTAACTGTCCCTGTGTTAACTAATAAAAATGACTTCCATTAGTAAGCGCTTTCTGCACAGCCAAGGCCTCATAGACTTTGTCTCATAACAACTCCACAAAGGGAGGTGGTCAGGTGTTAGCCTGTGACACAGGAAGCTCCTGAGGCTCTGAGGGGGAAAGTGACTTGTTCAAGATCACAGAGTTAATGGGAGCGCCAGAGATGAATGTCAGGGTTCTATGAGCTGGCTTTAACGGGAAGGGATAGTTTGCTGCCCCTCCTAACTTTGATACAGCTCCCAGGATAGCAAAAGTAAGGGGTCTTACCTGGTAGCAGGACAAGGGCAGATGAACAGGAGCCATGGCTTTTCTGAGTTCTGGCAAGAGGAATAAGAGTATGTGTGTGGTTCAAATGAGATAGCAGTTGCAGGCTGGGCGCGGTGGCTCCTGCCTATAATCCCAGCACTTTGGGAAGCCAGGAAGGGCAGATCACCTGAGGTCAGAGGTTTGAGACCAGCCTAGTCAACATGGTGAAACCCCATCTGTACTAAAAATACAAAAAAAATTAGTCAGCCGGGCACGGTGACTCACACCTGTAATCCCAGCACTTTGGGAGGCTGAGACGGGCGGATGACGAGATCAGGAGATCGAGACCATCCTGGCTAACACGGTGAAACCCTATCTCCACTAAAAATACAAAAAAGAAATTAGCCGGGCATGGTGGCGGGCGCCTGTAGTCCCAGCTACTTGTGAGGCTGAGGCAGGAGAATGGCGTGAACCCGGGAGGCGGAGCTTACAGTAAGCCTAGATCGTGCCACTGCACTCCAGCCTGGGTGACAGGGCGAGACTCCGTCTCAAAAAAACAAAAAAAGAAAAAGAAAAAGATTAGCCAGGGGTGGTGGTGCACGCCTATAGTCCCAGCTACTTGAGAGGCTGAGGCAGGAGAATCTCTTGAATCTGGGAGGTGGAGGTTGCAGGGAGCCGAAATCGTGCCATGCCTGGGCAACAGCAAGACTCAAAAAAAAAAAAAAAAGAGAGATAGCAGTTGCAAAGATGGGTTACAGAATAAATACATTCGAGCATTTATTTATTCAGCATTTAGTGACTACTACTACCAGATATTTCACCAGGCACCGGGGAGATAAGTTATAATTCCTACCTTTAAGTGGCACATAGCCTACTACCTTCCTAACTCAATATGTGGTTTGCGGAGCAGCAGCATTGCTGTGCATATTAGAATATTTGTGGGAATTTTGAACATGGCTAGGTCCTTCATCAAACTAATCAAATCAAATTATGTGGGGATGGGGCCTAGGCATTTTGGAAAGCTCCCCAGAAGATTCTAATGTGCAGCTGAGGGTGAAAACCACTGGAGTCATTCAGTGTCACAAACTTGATTGTGCATTAGAATTACCTGGAGAGGCTGGGCATGATGGGTCACATCTGTAATCCCAGCCCTTTGGGAGGCCAAAGCTGGCAGATTGCTTGAGCCCAGGAGTTCGAGACCAATCTGGGCAACAAAGTGAGACTGTCCCCTAACCCTCAATTAGAAAAAAAAAAAAAAAATCACGTGGAGAGTTTGTTAAAACACAGATTTCTGGGACTCATACCCACAGTATCTGATTCACTAGAATAGGGGTGGGGTCTGAGAATTTGGATTTCGTGTTTTTTGTTTTGTTTTTATTGAGACAGAGTCTTGCTCTCTTGCCCGGGCCGCTAGAGTGTAGTGGCACAATCTTGGCTCAGGTCAATCTCTGCCTCCCAGGTTCAAATGGTTCTCGTACCTCAGCCTCCCGAGTAGCTGGAATTATAGGCACCTGCCACCACGCCCAGCTGATTTTTGTATTTTTAGTTGAGATGGCGTTTCACCATGTTGGCCAGGCTGGTCTCAAATTCCTGGTCTCAAGTGATCCACCTGCCTTGGCCTCCCAAAGTGCTGGGATTACAAACGTGAGCCACCGTGCCCAGCAGAGGATTTGCATTCCTAACAAGATGCTGATGCTGCTGGTCATGGGATCACGTTTTGAGGACCACTGTTCTAGCTGGAGAGACAGAAGTGTTTCTTAGTGATTAACAGAGGGAAACAAATGTGAAGATAGATGTAGACACAGGTGGTACACTTGAGGGGTACCTAACCTGGCTGGGAGGATAAGGGAAGATTTCCTAGAGTGAACTGCACAAGCTGAGTCTTCAATACAAACAGGAGCTAGCCAGGTGGATAAGGGGGAAGAGCATTAGACATGGAACACCCTATGCAAAGATTTGGAGGTGCAAGAATTGAGGGTAAAGAGCAGGGTGCAGGTGTGGGAGCAGAAACTGGGGAGACACACAGGTGTCCCATCTTAGAGGGCCCTGTAGGCCCTGCTGAGGAGCCTGAGACTTACCTTGAGGACTGTGCAGAGCCATCAAAGTGTCCAAGGGCCTGCCCTGATGTTTCCCATGGGTTTGCTGAACTCACCTAGACCCTTGCCTGGGAGTGAGAGCCAGGTAGCATTTCTTTTTCAGTCCCCTTCTCTGGGCTCCATTTCTGTCCATCCCAGCCTCACCTTTGGTCCTGTCTGGATAGTCCAGCCATGGATACAGGAACATTGACCTGGAGATATCAAAGATATCAGTTGATTTTTCATAGGCCATCTTCTTCTCCTGGTGGAGCCAGAGGGAACCTGCAGCGGGGAATACAAGGCTTTTAGGGGAGTAGGGGCACAGCTGGAGGAGACCTCTCCTCTGTGGTGCAAGAGGTACAGGTGAGGTGTCTGGACTTCTGGAGGTAGAAGCTTCCAAGTGCTAAGCAACCAGGTTACTTTGGTAAATAGAACACTCAGGTTTCACTTCTGAGCCCCAGCTGTGGCATTTGAGCTAGTCACTTTATTTTCTGAGTTTCAGTTTCCTCACTGGACAAGTAGGAAAGTCATGTCTGTCTGGCTTAACGAAAGGGCCTGTGGTGAGGCATAAACTGGAGAAGAAAGTCAAACCATTTGGTGAACTGTCAAGCTCAAGTAAGCCCATGTTAGGATCAGGGATTGTTCTTAGGATTAGTCATTGTGAAAATGGCAGGGATGGGAAAGTCCCTTTATTTATTTATTTGTTTGTTTGTTTGTTTGTTTGGAGAGGGAGTCTCATTCTGTCGCCCAGGCTGGAGTGCAGTGGCATGATCTTGGCTCACTGCAGTCTCTACCTCCCAGGTTCAAGCAATTCTCCTGCTTCAGCCTCCCAAGTAGCTGGGACAACAGGTGCATGCCACCACACTGGGCTAATTTTTGTATTTTTAGAAGAGACGGGGTTTCACCATGTTGGCCAGGCTGGTCTCAAACTTCTGACCTCAGGTGATCTGCCTGCCTTGGCCTCCTAAAATGCTGGGATTACAGGCGTGAGCCACTGCGCCTGGCCCTGGAAAGTCCCTTTTATACACACCCTCTCCCTGTCTTTGGCAGCAAAAGACTGAACTCATCTGTGTGGTAAGGAGCTGCCTTTTTCTTTTCTTTTCTTTCAACTTTTTAAATTTTATTTTATTTTACTTTATGTTCCAGGATACATGTGCAGAAAGTGCAGGTTTGTTACATAGATACATGGTAAATGTGTGTCATGATGGTTTGCTGCACCTCTCAACCCTTCACCCAGGTATTAAGCCCAGCATGCATTTGCTATTTGACCTGATGAAGGAGCTGCTTTTTATACCTCTTACTTTTGCATATTCTGTTCCCTCTACCTGTCAGTCTTTTCCTTTTAAACCTGTTAAACTGTCTCTCAGATCTTTCAAAAAGTCCACTCAAATGTTTTCTCATCTTTGAAGTCTTTATTCTCCCTCAGGGTTCCTGCTCCCCACCCCCTGCCCCGACTCTGTGATAGAATTCCCTCTCTCCACAATGGGACCACAGCTCTTTTACACTTTGCTTTACTTTAAGTCTTTTTCATATGTATAATCTGCTCACAGGTCTGTCTTCCTTACTGGACTATGAGGAATTCGATTATAGACTGTATATTGTGTCATTATTAAGTTTCCTGAGTATGGTACGCATGTTGTGGTTTTATATAATGTCCTTGTTATTAGTAGATACATCCTGACACTTTTTTTTTTTTTCTTTTTTTGAGATGGAGTCTTGCTCTATTGCCCAGGCTGGAGTGCAGTGGCGGCAATCTCAGCTCACTGCAAGCTCCACCTCCTGGGTTCATGCCATTCTCCTGCCTCAGCCTCCCGAGTAATTGGGACTACAGGTGCCCACCATCACGCCGGGCTAATTTTTTGTATTTTTAGTAGAGACGGGGTTTCACTGTGTTAGCCAGGATGGTCTCGATCTCCTGACCTCATGATCCACTCACCTCGGCCTCCCAAAGTGCTGGGATTACAGGCGTGAGCCACCGCGCCCGACCTTTTTTCTTTCTTTTTTTTTTTTTTGAGACGGAGTCTCTCTCTGTTGCCCAGGCTGGAGTGCAGTGGCGAGACCTCAACTCACTGCAAGCTCTGCCTTCCAGGTTCATGCCATTCTCCTGCCTCAGCCTCCCGAGTAGCTGGGACTATGGGCGCCTGCCACCACGCCTGGCTAATTGTTTGTATTTTTAGTAGAGACGGGGTTTCACCGCATCCTGACACTTTTTAAAAATTTTTAAATTTATTTTTATTTTTATTTTTTAATTATACTTTAAGTTCTAGGGTACATGTGCACAATGTGCAGGTTTATTACAGATGTATGCATGTGCCTGACACTTTTAAGAGTGACATGATATCACATTTGCAACTTACTCTCAAGTGGTTCAGAAAAAAATGTATATACTGACCACACCCTGCCCCCACACACAGATAAAGCAAATGTGGTAAAATGTCAATATTTGACTCTAGATGAAGGGTATGTGGTATATTCTTGCAAATTTCCATATGTTTGGAATTTTGCAAATTAAGGGTGGGAAAAAAAGCATGGATTTTGGCATTAGACCTGATGGGTTTAAACTTAATTGTAAAGTTTTATCAACTGCTTTATTTTTCTTCTTCTTCTTCTTCTTCTTTCTTCTTCTTCTTTTTTTTTTTTTTGAGACAGAGTCTGGCTCTGTTGCCCAGGCTGGAGTGCAGTGGCCGGATCTCAGCTCACTGTAAGCTCTGCCTCCCGGGTTCACGACATTCTCCTGCCTCAGTCTCCTGAGTAGCTGGGACTACAGGCGCCTGCCACTATGCTCAGCTAATTTTTTTGTATTTTTAGTAGAGACGGGGTTTCACCATGTTGGCCAGGATGGTCTCGATCTCCTGACCTTTTGATACGCCCACCTCGGCCTCCCGAAGTGCTGGGATTACAGGCGTGAGCCACCGAGCCTGGCCCAGCTGCTTTATTTTTCTTTGAGCTGTGGGGCTTTGGGCAAATCATTTCCCTCTCTTGCTAAGGGTTTTCCTGACTATAAACAGGGCTAATAACTGTACCTAACCCTATAGGGTTTTAAGGATGAAAAAGAATGATGAATGTAAGGGGCTGAGCCAATCCCTGTCACATAGTGAGTGCTCAGTTAATGTTAACTATTATTATGACCACATATATTGTCAATACATGTTTACATAAAGGGACAAGCTTGGGAAAGTTGGAATACCCCACCTTATAGGAGCTGGTGTACTAGTGGAAAAACCACAAAATACCTCATTGTCCTTATTTCAAAGACCTGAGGCATTTGGAATTGCCATTGAATCCCATTCCAGGGGCAAGGGTGGTGTTAAAGAAATCCACTGGGGATAAGGTGGAGGGTAGGCCAGGGAGGAAGGGCCAACCAAGGTCTGAGGAAACAGGGTGACGCTGTGGCAGGCAGTAAGATAAACTCGGGGACTCAGGGGTGGGGACGCAGTGACTATTGTCTCCCCTCCCCCTCCAGAGTGGATAAGTCACTGATTAGTTTAATTGCTCTGCCTACCCATGCCCCCTTCTCAGAAAGCTTTTGTTTTCAGCCCTGTCATCCAAATCTAGGATGGATATCGGGTGTTTGCAAGCCCTGGAGCCCTCTGTGCTCAATGCTCATGGGGAAGGAGAGTTCCCCAGGAGGAAATCAAACCAAGAGTCAGCTTTATAGTTGCACTGAGAACTTTAATGGAAAGCCGATTTTTCCTGTTTGCTGATAAGCTCCTGTGAGGGGTTAAGATGGAAGCTTAGGAGCTCAGTGTTCCTCCCCTCCTTGCCTCTAGAGGCACGTTGACTTCCTTCCTGGTCACAGAGCCCTGGCAAAGCCAAGGGGCTTCAGAGCTCAGAAGCTAGAGACTTCCTTTTGACAAAGCAGCGCCTCAGAAGCTCTTCTAGGCTTTAGATGGGGAGGCTTCTTTTTTTGTTGTTGTTGTGACGGAGTCTCACTCTGTCACCCAGGCTGGAGTGAAGTAGCACAATCTCAGCTCACTGCAGCCTCCACCTCCTGGGTTCAAACGATTTTCCTGCCTTAGCCTCCCGGGTAGCTGGGATTACAGGCATGCACCACCATGCCAGGCTAATTTTTGTATTTTCAGTAGAGATGGGGTTTCATCATGTTGGCCAGGCTGGTCTCAAACTCCTGACCTCAAGTGATCCACCCACCTTGGTCTCCCAAAGTGTTGGGATTACAGGCGTGCGCCACCACATCCAGCCTGGGGAAGGTTTTTATAACTGCTGCTGTGTGGTAGAATCTGGGCCCTTCAAGGAGGGGGTGGGGTAGGATAGTGAGGGGAAGCCTCCCAAGCTAGGACAAGAGCAAGCAGAAACAGGCGAATTTGTGTAAGTTCAGGTTCAAGGGCTCTCCATCCTAGCTCATCTCCAAAGAGTTGATGTACTCCCGAACCCATTTCTTCTCTGGGTTGGCACACACTTGGCGATTCTTTCGGGTGACAAAGCTGTGGGAGAGGAGAAGAGGGAGGATGAGACCTTCCCAGTACTGGGACAGCCAGTTTGGGGGATGAAGTGGATTAAGGTATAAAGGGAAATGATAATGGTATTGGGGTAGGGCATATTTGGAGCTCCGTAAGATTTTATTTGTGGCTTTTAAGGAGAGGACATTTCCTCTTCTGTTGGATCAAAGGGCTCCAAGCCAGAAACAAATTTGTGTGCATTTTAACCACCTTCACACAAATATATGTAGCCTGAAAAGCTAAGAGGATATGGAGCCTTAAAACCCAGGGCTAAGCCTTGCCAACCTGCCTTTTTTCAGCACTTCCTCTGTTCCAGGCCCTGTGTTGGGTGGGCTTAAGATGCAAAGAGAATAAGGTGTCCCTTCAAAGCTGAGTCGATGGCGCTGAATAAGTGGGGATGAAAGTTCTTTTTTTTTTTTTTTTTTTTTGAGATGGAGTCTGTGTGCTCTTTGCCCAGGCTGAGGTGGCAGTGACAATCTCGGCTCACTTAAACCTTCGCCTCCCGGGTTCAAGCAATTCTCCGTGCTCAGCCTCCCAAGTAACTAGGACTACTTGGCGCCCACCCCATGCACAGCTAATTTTTGTATTTTTTAGTATGAGATGGGTACATGCTTGGCCAGATGTCTCCACGGTGGTCCTCAAACGCAGGTACTGGTACCCGCCTTGGCTCCCAAGTGTTTGGGAATTTACAGGTGTGGACCCGCTGCCTCGGGCCTTTTTTTTTTTTTTTGAGCGGAGTCTCTGTCATCCAGGTTGGAGTGCGCAGTGCGCAACTCTGGCTCACGTGCAGATCTCCACCCCGGGTTCCACCATTCTCCTGCCTCCAGCCCCTCCTGGCCAGTGAGGGACTACAGGCGCCCGCCACTACGCCTGGGCTAGATTTTTTGTATTTTTAGTAGGAGA